CGCTGAAGTTCAAAATTTGCTTTCTTGTCGGCTCCCTCAAGATATTTTCTATGCTCTTTTTTTCCTGTTTGCTTTAATTTGTTCTATTCATCTGGGAAATTAAGCTTTGTTCTATTCAAGCTTAAAGGTTTGACCTTTGGATGACTAAAGTGTTCTCTCTTAAGGGTTATCATCTGGGTTCTATTTGTTTTCTTCTTTTGCAAACAACTAGAAGTTAATTTATCTTCTATCTACTCTTGGTTGTTCCTCTGGGGCTTGTTTCCAGGATTTCCAGGGCTTTTTAAATGACTTGCAGGACTGGGAACTTTCACTTAAGGAAAAAGACAAGAAAAAAACATCTCAGGCTTCTGCTAAAGAACAATTGGTAACTTTTCAACCCTCAGATTTTGTTCAAGTATGGCACTGACGTGAGAACATAGAATGTAGGGTTAATTCATTTCATTTCATAGGGTACCGATGAGAAAGGAAGGCCTACAGGAAAAAGGTCCCTAAATGGTTCTTCGTCGACTACCGGTTCGGGGCAATATGATTGTTTGCAGAATTATGATAAGTGGAGCAGTTTATCAGCTAGTTTTGGCACTGAAGAGAGTATGCTTGATGCTAATTCTGAAAAGGAACTGGTGAGAAGTTTGGTTTCCGCACGTTTTCTTTTTGATCATGTTTGAGCTTTATTTGGTGTTGATAAGAGTGAAAATATTTTGAAATTTGCAGGGGAATGAGTACTTTAAGCAAAAGAAATTTAAAGAAGCTATCGATTGCTACTCGAGAAGCATTGCCCTTTCTCCAACAGCAGTGGCTTATGCGAATAGGGCTATGGCCTATCTTAAGATCAGAAAGTATGTTTGGCACTCTTTATGTTATATTGACTTATAGATAGCCTTCCCTAGGTTCATAACTGTCAGTGTGATTTCCGTTTTCTCTTTAGATTTCAAGAGGCTGAGGATGACTGTATGGAGGCCTTAAATCTCGATGATCGCTACACAAAAGCATACTCACGTCGAGCAACGGCTAGAAAAGAACTTGGCAAACTTAAAGGATCTGTTGAAGGTATGTTGAGTGCAAGTTCTCTCCTGGTTTAACTCCTAAGTGGATTCTCTATTTAAATTAGACGGATCTTATATGGTGGGCGTAGTTGTTTGCAGATGCCGAGTTTGGCCTGAGGTTAGAGCCTAAGAATCAAGAAATGAAGAAACAGCATGATGAGTTTAAAGCATTGTATGAGAAAGTAAGCATTTTTTGTTGTTCAATTTCCTGCTATATACCTTCTGAATTATGACTTCCTAAAAGTTCAGTGAACTAAAATTATCTTGAAATATTGTGGCTGATCAAGCTGGTTTAGAATCATGGATGTTAACCAGGCTACGGTATTCTTTAGGTTATTAGAAGATCTTCTGTTTTGTTATTATTTCTAAGCAATCGATTTATTGTTCTCATTGTAATTTTCATCTATCCCAGGAGGTTCTACAGAAGGCATCAGGGGTTATAAGAAGGTCTATGCAAGGGGGTCAGGATATAGGGAAGTTAGATACAAAAGAAAATGGGCTTGGGGTGCAACTTGTCTCGGATAGTACTCAAAGGACGGGGGTTGCCGCAGTTCAAGGGCATCAAACTAAGGTACTGGATGTTAGAACTTCTCTTTTCCAGTTGTTTTCTCTTTCCTTTCTTTTCAATCAAAGATGTTTATTTATTTTCAAATGAATACATGAATTTATGTTGACTTTATTTAGTTTTGACGCCTAAAGTTTTTCGAATGTACTTTTATGTTTTTTCATTTAGCAATTTAGCATGGTCTCTTTTGGTAGGTTTCCGAATATGACAGGGAAAAGAGACCCGAGAAGACATCTGTAACTTTGGAGGAAATAGGGAAAAGAAATATCAGGGCTGGAAGCAGAACCGATGGTACTCGACTAGATGCTGGTATTGCTGCTCCAGAGATCATTAAGGTAACAATATATATATATATTATTTCTCTTGAGACTTCTATTGGTCACACTTCTCTTTGCTTCTAAGAAGGTTTGTGTTTTCCTTAAGTAGTTACAATTTAACAATTCCGTGAAGGTGCATGCATGTTCCTCCTCCTCTCGTTTCTAATTTGTGGCTGCCAAGCCTTAGACTCCCTCCCTATGAAGTGGCATCCTATAAAATTTCGATTCATATTTTCTAAGGAACTCCTTGAATTACTTTTACGAGTTACAAATAGGATTTGAACTTTAAAGCAGGGAAATATTAGTTTGTAAACAACTACATTATCCTCACTTTAATATCTCACTACTTGATATAGTTTAGAATTGGTTTAGGTTTTTTATTGGCTTAGATTGGAGTCGAGTCGGTAGTGTACTGCAATGAGCAATTGTAGTTGCATTGCTTTAAATTATTTGAGATCAATCTATAAGGTCTGTCTTTAAGCGCCTTGGGGTTCAGTGAACTGTTCTTTTCTTTTGTAAGATGAATTTTGTTGCACTGAATCTATCCATTGCTACTTTTATAACTAAAAGATTGTGTAATGATATTGGTTTTTTGCTCTTAATTAAAATTGGGTTAACTGTGCCGCATTCAATCTTTCACAGAGAAATACCAAAACTAGAAAGCCAGAGCTGAAGCCTTTGGTGCAAGAGCTTGCTTCTCGAGCAGCTAGTCGAGCCATGACCGATGCTGCGAAAAACATCAGTCCCCCAAGTACAGCTTACCAATTCGAGGCTTCCTGGAAAGCCCTATCTGGTGACTCTTCCCTACAGGCTCATCTTCTGAAGGTCCGTGTGTGTTGGTCTTTTCTCGTTCTGTTTTACATGACGAGCCATCTTAATGTGAATGCTATTTTTTCTCGTTTAAGTCTCCTCATTCGCGCTACAACTGATATCTTTTTTTTAACTATTTGTAGGTTACATCTCCAACTGCATTACCACACATATTTAAAAACGCATTGTCTGCTTCCATGTTAGTCGATATTGTTAAATGTGTTGCCACCTTTTTCAGGTAAATAGTGATCTGTTATGGTGCCTACTGCCTGGGACTCGCATATCGATTTATCGTTGTATGCTTTCCAGATTATTGATTGCCTGCTGGTTTATTTATTCTATTGGCAGGGAAGAAATGGATTTGGCTATCAAGTATCTAGAAAATTTAACTAAGGTTCCAAGATTTGACATGCTTGTATTGTTTCTTTCGCCTAAAGACAAAGCCGGTACGTTTATTTGAGTGTTTTACTGTATACCCTTCGTATGATTCATATAAAACCCTCTCGAATGTTTAGTAATATAGATCTATTACATATTTAAAATAAGTTTAAAGAAAAGGGTTAATCGAACCGGATGTTCCCGAACTATATAGGCCAAAATTGTTGGCTAAACTGTTGAAAGGACTTGATTAGAACTATAGTCTGAGGATTCAATTGGAACGTTTTTGAAGTTCAAAACCGGTTTTGAATATAGCTCGTAGTTTCTGGCGCAAGTAAGCCTAGAAAAATTGTCTTTATTCGAACCGAGGTTGAGAGATGTAAATCAGGATGCTGACTTTAGTTTTCCATTGAACAGATCTTCTCAAGGTATGGGATGAAGTATTTTGTAGTGAGGCAACTCCCATAGAGTATGCAGAGATCCTCGATAACTTGCGGTCCGTGTACGGCCGCAAGAAATGAAGGATAAATGATACGCATTCGGAGAAATTTTCTCGTAGCAGTGATGTTGAGTTTACTTTTTTGTAAATGGTTCTTTCGAAACGTCGAAAACCGGTCACTGCAACTTTGTAATGGCTGGGTTGTGGAGCTCGGCAAATTTCATAATCTTTCATCTTTCAGTGTTTGCATTTAGCTGTTTATGGTTATCGTGTTTGCATTGCCACCTACAAGACAATGTTCTTTCTACATTCGCCTTCAAAAGCTTTTACAAACTTTATTATTTTTCATTCAAAATTCGAGTTTCTGATTCCGTGGAAGGAATGAATCTAGTGGCTCGTCTTACTAAACCATCGGATTTGGTTACAAAAACGATCTTTCTAATGGAGCTTATAATCATTATTACCATAAACAGAACATGCATATCTAACTAGAGAGTCCAAAATCGGACATGATACCATTCGACTCAAACTGGGATACTTTATAGTATATACTCCCTAGACAAGATAAGATATGATAAGGAATGTTCATATCCAAGAAATTCATATCCTCAAAGCTAAGGAGCAACACGGCCTTCGAATCAACTATAATACATAAGATTAGACCTCTTATTGGTCTACTTGATCTACCAAAACGAAATTCAAGATTTAACAACTAGATCTGTTTATCATGTTAACTTACAGATAATTATAATGGTTGTATGTCTTTTTTCTCCCGACTCTCCTCTTCCCTCTTACGAAGATAATCACAGAAAGCATTATCGATTAATGACCATCTTTATATCGACTACGAGTCTCTATTCAAATCATAAGAGACGAATCACAAAAAATTGAAGCAACTTGTTTATTCTCATCAACAACTACCCTATTGAATTTAAAAACACTACCCAAACCAGCTGAAAACACATCCCCTTGCACTAATACATCATTTTTTTTACTTCAAAAACTTGGTAGTATTTGTTATAACAAAATCAAATAATTATAGGTCCCTTATTTATAGGTCCCATAATTATATAATGGCATATTACCAAAATAAGCCTCTAAAGTTTATTAAAATGGTCATTTTGGTCTCTAATATTTTTTTAGAGCATTTTGGTCCCTAACGTCTTATTTTAAGGTAAAAAAACTTAAAGCGTTTAACTGAAAAGTCACTTTGACTCTTATTTTTTCTAAAGTATTTTGGTCCCTAACATTTAGTTTTAGGGTAAAAAACCTATTTTTGGAACCTTGCATAATACTCAGTAAGGCAACTAATGAAACCTTGCTCAATGTCATCTCAACTGTGTCTTTATCTCTTTTCTTTGCACATTAAAATACAAGAAATACTTTAGACTATGTAAAAGTAAAAAGATCAGATCATATCCTTTACCATATGAGATATGAATTATAAGTCTTCACTGTTGCAAAGCGTGTGAACGAAGTGCAAAAGCAATCCACACCCAACATTCTCTATCTCTCTCTCTGGTCTTCTTCTCCTCCTTCTCTCTCAAAAGGCACCTTCTTTTTGGTTCCTCAAGAGGCGGCTCTAGGGTTTTGTTCATAAGTTTCCTGTACGTCTTTTTGCAACCAGTTTGATCTTTGTTGCCTGAAAAAAGACCATGAAGGACTTATACAGGCTTGATGATCAAGTCACCACTGATTTTCTCAGTCCAGTTGAACATCATCTACTTCAGTTTGATCATCAAGAAACTGATCATACAGATGCTTCTGTGTCAGTTTTCTCTGGTCTGATCAAAACCCAGATCGCCAATCACCCTCGTTATCCAGACCTAGTGTCTGCTTACATTGAATGCCAAAAGGTAGCTCTTTTTTTAAAAAAAAATAATTAGGGTTCCTTTTAATATTTTTTAGCATATTCTGTATTATGTATACACAGGTTGGAGCACCGCCTGCGGTGGCTTCACTTCTTGAAGAAATCGGCCGAGAAAACCATACTATAAACAGCTGCAGTGAGATAGTAGCTGATCCAGAACTTGATAAGTTCATGGTACTTTAAAATGTTCATTAAATGATTTGTTTGTTTCTTGAGAAAATATTGCATGAGTCGCAGATATTCATTTTTTTGGTTCCAACTTCCAAGGAATCATATTGTGAGGTTCTTCATAGATGCAAAGAGGAACTCTCAAAGCCGTTGGATGAAGCTACAATGTTCTTGACCAACATCAAATCAAGGCTAACTGATCTCTGCAATGGAACATTGGTGAAATCCTTGGATTATTTATCTGGTAAAGTTTTTTTTACTGTGCATTTACCTGGAAAGCAAGTTACACTGACTGTACTGGTACTATCTATAGTTGTTTTGCTGTTCCTTTTTTGTCCACTTACCTATTTTTGACCATGCTTGAGCTTCTGTTTCGTGAATCATTCGCTTACACTTTTAACAGTAAGAACAGTTGCATGGTGCTGGATCTATAATTTATTTTGTTGTGGAAAAATATTATAAATTATACAATAATTCACTATTTAATGAGAAATAAAGGTTAGCAACGTAATTTTAACTCAAAAAGAAGTTTTTAAAATGTAAAAAATTACATCTTATATGGCTCTTGCGTTTGTGTTGAATTATAAATATTCTTGGCAGATGTACATAGTTGAATGTTTACTATACATATACATGTATGTGCATATATATATATATATACATCATTTGCTTTTCTGTTCAGATGAAGCTGTTGGGTCTTCGGAGGAAGAGTTAAGCGGCGGCGAATCCCTGGGCCGACATCGTCCGAGCCACGAGATCAAAGGAATGCTGATGCGCAAATACAGTGGGTATCTAAGCAGTTTAAAGGAAGAATTCTTGAAGAAAAGAAAGAAGGGTAAGCTGCCAAAAGATGCCAGGCTCACACTGCTAGACTGGTGGAACAGCCATTATAAATGGCCTTATCCCACGGTAATTACACTGCTACTTAATATATATATATATAACATGCAAATTCCATGTCTATGGCATAAGCGTTACGTCGGATTACTGTGTAACGCGGATTTAGATATTTACGGTATTTGATTTACTTTTAAGGATGTGGTGTTACAGGAGGATGAGAAGTTGAAATTATCAGAGATAACGGGACTAGACCAGAAGCAAATCAACAACTGGTTCATCAACCAGCGGAAGCGGCACTGGAAAGCGTCCGAGGATATGAAATTCGCTCTTTCAGACGGTGTTTCCGGACACAATGGAGGGGGTCCGACGTACTTAAATGCCGGAGAGGGAACCGGAAGGGACGATATTTGATCAACGCAACGGTATTCACTGAAGGCATCACTTCCCACATGTAAACTTATTCTCACAAATATATTGCAGTGTGCAAACCATACAAATATGTAAATGCTTTCCCTCCCTTTTTTGAAGTTATTAAACCAATTTCTATATTCTTTTTTGAAAACCAATTTCTATTTAATAAGGTGTTATTGGGGTTCATAGTTGTATTTAAGTTCATCAAAATCCCACCCTTGAAGTAATTTTTTTAATTTTGGACCAAGAAAAAGCTTAATTGTAAGATAAGTGCATAAAGTATAGCGCTTTCACGAATAGGTGTCTAAACTATTTTTTAATGATCTTGGTGTCTAAAGTAAAAACGTTACCACTTTAGGTCCTCGGGTTGTGAACGACGTTAATTTCCTCCATTAAGTGACACGTCTCATAATTTGAAAATTTTTTAAAAAATTATTTAAAATTTCAAAAATAAAATTACATTAAAAAACATTTAAAATTTGAAATAACCCCAAAACTTTAAAACATTCACTTTAACCCCTAAACCCACATCAATCCCCACCCTTTGCCTTCGACGAAATTTCACCCGACCTCACCTCCCCTTGTCGACCAAAACCTCTATGAGATCGTGACTGATCGTAGTTTTATACCCGCAAACCCCGGGATGAAAATCGTGATTCCAACAACCAATCGATGACAACATATGACTAGGAGGATGGCAGTGACTACAGCGGCGACAGTGATCGTGATCGGAAAGGGCGACGAGACCGGTTTAGGGTTGGGATTTGGGGATTTTAGGGATTTGAGGTTTTTTGTAATTTAAGAGAAATTAGGTTTTTATTATAAATTTTAAAATTATCAGATTGTGACATGTGTCACATAACAGAGGAAGTTAATATCGTTGACTACCTAGGCACCTAAAATGATAACGTTTGTAACGTTAGGCACCGGGATCATTCAAAAAATAGTTTAGGCACCTATTCGTGAAAAACGTTCTAGTTTGGGTACTTATTTTAATAATTTTCATCCAGTAAAACGACGTCGTTTTGAGTTTTTTGGCATCTAAACTATGACTTCTTTTTGTGTGCTCAAAACAACGTCGTTTCGGTGTGAATACCATGTCAATGTGTTGTTATCGAATTAACGGCTCTTTAATATAATTAAAACGAAAATCAAAGTTCAATATTATAATTGGAGCAATTGAAAGTTCAGTGATATAAATCATATAACAAATAATTTTACACAGAATTGGTGATTCCAGAGCAAAATAATGTTTGATTCTCAATAGAAATCAGTTCGTGATATCAATATCACACAGCATTGACAATTAAAATTAGAGACAAGTATTCGATCGAATAAAGTCGAGTCGAGTTTAATTGAACTCTGTCCACAGGTAGCATGACTTAGGCATATAACCAACTTGATGGTGCATGATTGCAGATCGTAACGACTGATGTGATAAGGAAAAAAGACAGAAGATGCCAACAAAAATAAATGTCTTTTCAAAATTCTTTTCCCCTCTGCTTTCTCTAACTTCTCTAACTGCGCTATCCAAATACATAGCTTTTTTTGTAAAAAAAAATTAGAATACTTATCTATCAAAGTTAAGTGTATAATTCGAGTCTTAATAACACCAATTGACCTATTAGTACCACCATAGAAGTTGAGGATCAGATATGCCAAATTAAAATAGGACTATATCATAAATTTCAGTATAGTAGAGGGACTAAAACCATGCTTTTCACGAGATTTGGTCCTCAATATCAAGTTCATCCATCAGGTTCACATGGTTGAGAAGGGGATTAAACATTTCAATGTCGAAAAACTTGTTGGGCAACTTCATTGGCCCCAGAGGCTGCTGACCGGTACTTTGTTTATCCGATGGCGATTTACGTGCAATCACCACGGAGTTGATAACTTCATCGGTAGGATGGAATATTGAGAGGACGTCGAATCTTCGTAGGTCACAAGGATCGACGACCGGATAAAGGAAAGTCCGAGCACCGTGTGCACTTCTCAGCATCAAAACCGCCCCGGGGCTCATGTACTTAGCCAAATGATCAATGACTCTCACTTTCTCATCTTTGTCCATCCCGACGAGAGCCGCCAAGAAGACGACATCGTACTCTTTCAAAGCATGTGTGACATTGATTATGTCCGTGGTGTGAAACGACATCCGTCCAGATAAATCAAGGTCGGAAGAGACCAATTGGATGGCCTTGGAATTGGCCAAAGGGTCGATGTCGTAGTTGTCAAAAATGGTACTTTTGAGGTGGAAAGAGGCCAATACAATCGAGGTCAAGGGAAGAGGACCGGAACCAACAAACGCGACTTTATTGGGCACACTCGGGCAGTGTTTGGTGAGGATGTCGAATTCGAGTTGACTGAGTTTAAGGTAATTCGAGTAGTAAGGGAAAACGTCGAGATGGTGAAGAGGGTTCTCGTAGGATGCTAAGATCGCCGAGAAATGATTCTCCAAATGTCCCTCGGCTTCGCCGCATAGTCGAATCAACTTAGACCTCATGTCTTGAACATCTTTGCAAAGCTTGGTGACATCAATCCGGCTCGGCGGGATACATGTGACGACGAGTTGTGTGAAGAACGCGTTGACATCTTCGGAGGGTTTGAGACTCGAGAGGCTCGCAATTTGTTCATACAACTCTCTGATTTTTCGGACCAACGGATTTTTCTCGCAGACCATGTCGATAGTATGCGGTTATGGAAGATGAGAATTCTTGTGGGCAAAAAACAAACACTTGGGAGCGAGGAAGAGACAACCTCAAATGCTCCAATGGAGCCATTATTTATGGGCAAGTTTGGGGACCACACCATGCGGAGGATTGGCCTTGTAATTCCCTTGCATTATTATAAAGTTAGCGAGGTATAGTATTTGATGTCTTCATTGTTTTTATCGTATTAGGCCTATATAATCAATTGATTTAATGACAAAGAAGTGATTTTAAAAAGTTTGAGGTCTTGAATTTAAATTTTACTTTTATTAAGTACGAGTTTGATTCGGATTTAATTTGATAAAATTATCAAATATATTTTTATTCTTTTGTTGGAACTGTACTTAAGATTCATTGCATGAAAAATATTAGGACCATATGGACCATGAAGTCAACAATTTTTTGTCAAAAAGGTGATGGCTGGATTCAGTCGTTTCATCATTCTCATATGGATTGTTATATTAATATCGTTGACTATTATATCATCATAATGGACCGTCATGTTGACACCGTTAACAACTATGTCAACACTATGATAATCAATATCGATCAAGAAATTAAATAAACGAAATTGAACGAGTTTAAAGATAAAATTAATATAACTAAAAGACGTAAACAAAATTATTGATCTATATTTGTTTCATACATAAAATAATTCCTTCAGTCGAACATATCGAGCGACACCAATGATGAAAAGGAGTATTATTTTTCTTAAAAGTCTCGAGTTTAAACCGTTACCTCTGCATCACGATCTATATATTTTATCAATAATTATGAATAAATATATTCTCATAATAACCCTATATTGTACCCAGATTCCTTACCTTGTATGCTTTCACACTACTGATTGTTAGAACTTGATGTTATATTCAAGGACAAGAAATTTGGGTCACCAAATTTACCCTGTCGTCTGTCTTTGTTTTGCTTTTGGGCAAAGGTTGCCTTCTTTGCTTTTTTTTTTTTTGCATAATAACAAAATTACTCCTCAACGTTTACATAAATGGTCACTTTGCCCCCTATCATTTTTAGAGTATTTTAGCGTCCAAAGTTTCATTTCAGAGCAAAATATTCCCTGGTTGGATGACAATGGTTAGTTGACTATCTGTTAATGTTTCATACGGAGATGTCACTTCAACAAAAAAATTTATTTTTAGAGTAAACAATAATTATAATTAATTAAATACACTTATAAAAATATATTTAAAAATAGTTTAATTTTTTTTATGATATGGCATGACACTTGGACCTGCCACATCAATAGGAAGCTTTGACCGTTAACTAATTAACGATTTTTACCCGCATAAGAGCCTTTTACTCCTAAATAAAATGCTCCAAAAAAAAAACAATGTACATGGACCCCTCTATCTTGTGATAGTTCAAATATCTAAAAGACAATATGGCCTTACATATATCGGATGGCCAGTTTCGACTCTCACTATGCATAGACGTTGGCATTGAGATAATAACAATAATACTATACACTAAGTTTTACAATTTACGGGAAATTATGTATTTAGTCATTCAATTATTTTTGAAATTTTGTTTTAGTCACTCAACTGTTCCTTTTTCAAAATCATACCTAAACTTATATTTTTGTCCCGTTTTGGTCATCCAATATTAAAAGTTTAGGATGATGTTGATATGCCATCATAAGATAATGTCACATTATAACTGAAAAATAAAAAATTATCACACCAACAGTTTTGTTTATTTTTTAACAAAGAATAACCAAAACGGAATAAAAATGTAAATTTAGTGATGATTTTAGAAAATACTGTTGGATAACTAAAATAAAACTCCAAAAATAATTAAATGACTAAATACGTGATTTACCCTACAATTTGTTGTTCTATGAACCTTGTACGCAAGACTCAATCATGACACATATAAGTTTTCTATGGCAGAGAAACCAATTAATAAATTATTAAGCAAACAATTATGTCCACATACATTCCAACTTCCCTTCAAACTCTTTCTCGTTATCGAATTACACTATAATTAAATAAATTTTAAAAGAAATATTATTTTAATTATTTTTTTTATTTAAAAATTCAAGATAAAATAAATTTTTAAAGTCGGAAAGACATCTTAATTATTTTTATTTAAAATAAATGTTCGTTTTATAGAAAGTTATAATAAGTTATATCAATAGGTTATTGATTATGAATTTTTGGGTAAAGTACCTAAATAGTTATATGATTAGAGGATATAATTTTACTTAGTTATTTGACTATTAAAAATTATAAAATGATCGTCTGATTATAGGGAGTTGTTTTGTTGAGTCCATTAACTATTAAAAATTATAAAATGACCACTTGACTATTCATTATGTTCCGAACTTGTCCTTTTCTGTTAAAAATTTGACGGCAGTCTTAACTGTAAGTTAACTCTGCTGACTGATATATGATAAAATCTTATCTCATAATCTCAAACGACTATCATATCCTATTTAACATGTTAAGTCAAACTCAGATTATCGTTATTTTTTTTTTAAAATGTAAAAGGACGAGTTTGAAATATAATAAATAATCAAGTGACTATTTTACGACTTTCAATAGTCGGGAGGCTCAACAAAGCAACCCTATAGTCGAGTGATCATCCTGTAACTTTTAATAGTCAAAGGATTCAATAAAACAATATCCTGTAACTTTATCCGTGAATTTTTTTAATTAAACAACTAATGTAACCAAATCTTTTTTTCCTTCTATTTAACTATTAATATCTGATTTATTGATCGATTATAAGTAAATAATCAATTGCGGTTACTCGACTTCGAATTTCCCGTTTAACTTTTTTTTTTTTATCATGGGCCATGGAGACGCCTAGCTCTTCGAAAGGCAGGCTGCTTGCCACTGCCTAACATTCCAATTTCTGCAACAATAGTTGAAGGGGAAGAGAAGGTATAAGTGGTGGAGGCAATCCAATCCATGACTTGTTCGTTTGAAGGCTGTTGCCCTACTAGAGCCATCAAAGAAGTCAATTCCACTGTGGCTCATGGGATGTGATGATGTCACTCGAGACTTGATTCGACTCGAATCAATTTCCAGTGGACGGTTTTTTCCTTTTCTTGATTAGACCTGATCCTCTCCACTCTGCTCCATGCAAACGTTAGCCTTGTTCGTCATGGAACTGCCACTTGCTGCTTTGGCTTCAACCATAGTCACATGGATCGTGGTACGCTCCGATACAGGAACGTGGAACGGGATCGCAATTCGCTAGGTCCCTAAAATTCGGTACGAGGGGAGTAGACTTATTTCGGATCGCTCTGGTACGATGTACCATATAAATTGGTACGATGTACCAGTTTCTTAGATAGAGATCAATTATAGAAGAAATTTAGAAATGCATGTTTTGTTTGCCTTATTTTATTTAATTTAGATTTGAGGTTTATCAACTGAACTGCTCAATTTAATAATATTTAATTTTAGAGGGATCAAAAAGTAAAAGGATTAATCTCTAAATTTGAGTAGAATAGAGGATCTAAAATCAAAATTAGACCAAAACTAAATGAAATATATTTTATATAAAAACCAGGCTCTTCCTACTTCCATTTTCAATTTTAAATCTCTTATTTTGCCGTCTCTCTCTTTCTCTAAATCCCCTCATTTATTCTTTCTGGTTTCTTCTCTCCATAATCGAAGATGCGTGAGATCCTTCACACTCAAGGTGGCCAGTGCGACAACCAAATCGGAGCCAAGTTTTGGGAGGTTGTTTGTGCCGAGCATGGTTTAGATCCAACCGGTCGTTACCAAGGAGACCAAGATCTTCAACTCGAGAGAATCAATGTCTATTACAACGATGATGGGCTCTTCCAGCTTCGGTGAGGCCACGATGACAACACCTAAGGTAAGGCTCTTCAACTCACTGTTTTTTTCTGGTTTCCCCGAATGGTTTCACCTCTCCCTCTTCTTTTCCTCTGATTTTTTCTCTCTCAAACCCCCAATCTCTAATCCCTTTATTTTTCTGATTGCATATCCTCTTATCCCTGCTGCAAAACTACGATGTACCGAATCGCGATTTTGAAATAATCCAAACGCGTTCGTACCGCGTTTTGGATCGTAACGTTCAGTACGTAGATCGTGGGCTATTGAGCAATTTATGTAACTATGGCTTCAACCCCACCCTACAAAAGATCAGACCAATAACTTTTCTTTAGATTTTGCTTACTTTTCCCTCCACTTATTTTTCTTTGTTTCAGCCATTTAGGTGGTATCAGGAATTTAAATGGTGTTTGCGGTCGCATTTTTTTTTCACATTACGTTTATTACGATCGTAGATGTAATCATGGATGGATCTAGAGGAGTGGATGGGAGCAGTCGCCCCCCTAAAATTTTTAAATTCATATGTATTTTAGATGTTTTCTTTGTATTTTCGATTGAAAATTTGATTTCACCATTCTAAAATTTTACAAGTTCCATATTCTTTAAATTTTTTTAAGTTCACCCCTCCTAACATGAAATCCTGCGTCTGTCCCTGGATATAACGGATGTCATCGCAGTCACTGTAGGTGTCACGGTCGTGAATTATTTTAAATTTCGTACAACTTATCCTAAAACATAATAGTTATAATTATAGGAAGTCATTTTTAATGATTTTTAAAATGTTTTCTAAGTGAAAATGGCGTATATATATATTATATATTATATAATATATACGCGTGTGTATATATATAACTATAATGAGTCATTTTTAATGTTTTTTAAAATAATTTCTAAGCAAAAATGACATATATATAGTTTAACCAAATAGATTACTGAAATTAGGGATTAAATTAAATAACAACAAAAGTTTACATTCTAAACTAAGGATTAAATTCTAAATTCTAAAAATTGGGAGGGATGGAAAATTAATATCTCCTTTAAAATTATATTTTAGAACTTATTTAAAAAAAGAAGAAAAAAAATTGGAGTAAGACGGCTTACTCTTAAAGTTTAAGAGTTAATAATTAAGAAAGCTCGAGAAGCTTTCATAGTTTCATTCATTCCTCAACTCCCAACCTTACATCTTTTTTAATTAAAAAAAAA